AAAAAAAAAAAAAAAAAAAAAAAAAAAAATCCCTTTAAAGCAGTTATCATTTCTCTCTTTTCCAAAGCCTACTAGTGGTAGTTCTCAATCTTCATCATAGATCAGAATCTTCTGGAGATTTATTAAATCATACACTGATGATTCAGTGATCTGGGGTGCAGGCTGAGAATCTTCATTTGGACCAAGCTCTCAGGTAACACTAATGCTGAAAACAGAACCATCACACAGTCAACTGTTACTCCATGAAGGTTGAAATACCAAGCAATTTCTTCTTTTACTTGTTTTTGAGCTTCAGATAATGTGTACTACAAATATAACTGCTAGAAAACGTATAAATGTTTATACACTGCAATAAAAATCCTCAGCATATCATAGGACATATGCCTAATTTTTCAAAATGAATAGAACATTAAATGGTTTACTTTGTTTCTTATTTTTAGTACCAGGGATTGAACTCGGTTCCTTGTGCTTGTGAGGCATTGAGCTAAATCTCCGGACCTACATTAAATGGTTTAATGGCTTAAAACATGGTTTTAAAATACATTTCAAAAACAAACAAATAATAAAAAATAAAATAACATTAAAAAGTTAGAAGCCCATGTAAGCTTGGCTGTCCTACAATAATATATCATGGAATACTAAGGAAATATAAAAAGCTTTTAATGACAAGATGATAGCATATCATGTAGGTAAAAAACTATGCTGTAAAATACATCCTATCAAATACATGTTTGCATAGAATATACAACAGTAAAAAGTCTATCTCTAACTCTTGTGATGGCATTATAAATTAAAAAAAAAAAGGCTGGAGGAACAGCTCACTGGTAAAGTGCTTGCCTAGCATGTGTGAGGCCCTGGCTTTAATCCTTATCCCTGAAAAAAATCCTGTAAGAGATTAAAATAGATGATTTAGATATCTCTGTATGTCCGTATTTCCTAATTTCTTTTTTTTCCCTCACTGAGTTTATTGGTACATTTTAGCTATACAGTACAGTTAAGATCATCATTACAATCTTGTACCTTTACATGACTGGTCTTGTTTCTCAATTTTTCCCCTTGTCCCTGCCCTCCCTTCACCCCCTCCTCCCTTCCCTATTTACAAATACTTTATTTCCATTTTTTCATTTTCTGATTTTTTTCCTTTTCCCTTATTACCTTCTCCCTACCCTTCCCAATTTCCCTATACCTTTAGCTCTTTTCTTCCTATTTCACTTTGTCAATTATA